GGGCACAGCCCTGCCCGGGCAGCAGGACAGGGACCCGAGCCCTGTGCCCAAAGGCCCGGCCGGGCCCAGCGAGTCTGGCCAGGGCACCTGAGCTGTGGGCGAGCACCGCGAGGAGGAGCGGGGCCCAGGCCATGGTGCAATCCACCAGTTCCGTGTCCCCACGCTGATGGGGCTGTGCCACAGACCTCGACTCCCTCTTAAGCCTCTGCCTGTCTGGGCACAGCCCCTGCATGCAAATCTGACCCTGTGCTCAGGGCTGGATCCTGCCCCACCTCCCTCCCCGTTCTTGTCCCTGGGCACAGAATAGACGTAGAGACTCAACCCAGCTCAGAGCCCAGAACCAACCAGCAGGGACTTCCCCTGTACCCAGCCCAGGCACAGGGGCTGCAGGGCAGGGGGTGTGGGTGGCAGGCAGCACCCACAGCTATAGCATCTCACCCACAGGTTGTGGGGAGCAGATAGGCCAGCTCCTGTGTCAGCCCATGCCCAAACTGTTGTCCCTGGAGTGGGTTTTTGGGGTCCAGCTGGATCCAACAAGGCTCTCCCATAGGGAAAGCACTGGGAAAAGGCAGGAGCAAAGCCCCCATTACTATCCCTTCCAGCTCCTCCCATGAACAGTTTTTGTGACTGATGGGCTCCAGGAGCTTTAACCTGGGCCAGGAGCAGCACAAAGCAGCCCTCACGCCTGAGGACCACAGGGTACTTGATGCACCCCTGCCCATGTCCTTCTGGCCCCAGCCCATGGCACGTGTTCCTCCTTCCATCTCCACAGTTCTGTTCACAGATATAGAGCACAAGGCCACCTGGGACCCAGCAGCCCACAAAGCAGCTTCTGAAACCACAAATGCAACCACCATGGGCCCAGCACTCCTGCCTACAGCCTGGCTCTATTTCACACCCTCACCCTGGTCCATGGCCTTGGACCCATCACACTTGAGGGGACACAGGAAGTATCAAACCTGAAAGCAAACAGCACCCCATGAAATAGTGGAGCTTGTGCCTTTGGCTCCAATGATATCCTCAGTTCAGGGGTCCTGCAGGAGGATGGTATGGGGTCAGGGTGCTGGGCAGCCCCTGGCTGTCATGGGGCTCTGGTGGGATATTGCCCAGGGCCAGGGGCTTTCCAGGGGCCAGAGGTGCACACACACAGCCAGTGCTGGAGTGGCCCGTGGCTCCTGGAGCAGCACAACAGAGCAGCCCCTGAACACCCCTGCTCTTCCTCAGCAGCCTCATGCATGACCCCTGGAGCTGCTGTGCCCAGGAAAAATGTCCCTTCTCAGGCCTACAAGGCAAAGCTTTGGCCAGGGCCCCATCCCATGGCATGTCCCCCCCTCTTGGTGCTGGGGCTGCAGTTTCAGCAAGGCTGAACCCACTGGGGGATGCCCCACGGGCTTGGGTGCAGCCAGGCTGGGAGGGCAGGGAGGCCCTGGCAGGGTCCTGGTGCCAGCAGGGAGGGCAGGGGACCTCACCCTGCACCAGGGGCCAGGAAAGGGATGCTGGGGCACACCCCTGGATTTCCTTATGGAGAAGGTGGTCAGACATTGGAACTGCCTCCCTAGAGAGGGGGTTGATGCCCCAAGTCTGTCAGCAGTGCAGAGACTTTTGGACATTGCCTTGAAAAACAGGCTTTAACTTCTGGTGAGTCCTGAAGCAGGCAAGTGGTTCCCTTCCAATGGAAATGCCTACCCTATCCAACCCCCTCCCCTCCAAAGGACAGGGGATGGAGCACAAACCTGGGGTTCTAAGGCACAGCCAGGCTGGGACACCAGGCACAGCCCCCTGAAGCAAAGGGCAGCAAGAGCAGGGCTGTGGTGGGACCAGCCCCACCATCAAATGGGGACAGCCAAGACCCTAAGTGTCCCCTGGGGTGGCAGGAGGTTTTTGTATCACTTCCCCACTGCTCTGTGTCACTGTGGCAGCGTCACCACCAGTTTCATAGCCACCACAGTAATAGACAGCCTCGTCCTCGGCTTGGACCCCAGAGATGGTTAACGTGGCTCCTCTTGCGGCTCCCAGCCATAGCTGTTGGTACTCCCAGAGCAGGTGATCTGGACGGTTTCTCCCGGGTTCGCCGACACCGAGGGCGGCTGAGTCAGCGCTGCCTGGACCAGGGAACCTGCAGAGGGAGAGAAGAGAGGGGAGAAGATGTGGGTCAGCCAGGGCCCCACGGGCACAGCCCTGCCTGGGCAGCAGGACGGGGACCCGAGCCCTGTGCCCAAAGGCCCGGCCGGGCCCAGCGAGTCTGGCCAGGGCACCTGAGCTGTGGGCGAGCACCGCGAGGAGGGGAGGGGCCCAGGCCATGGTGCAATCCCACCAGTTCCGTGTCCCCACGCCGATGGGGCTTTGTTGCGGACCCTGCTCCCCTTTTAAGCCCCCACCTGGCTGGGGTACGGCCCCTCCATGCAAATCTGACCCCACGCCCAGGGCCGGATCCTGCTGGGACCGCCCAGAGCCCAGCGGGGCCAGCGCAGCCCCAGGTGCAGGCAACTCTGGGCACGTGGCACAGGGCAGCACCACTGCCTTTCTGCCCCGTGCCCCAGGCATCAGGACAGAATGCCCAATTCCCACCCTCCTTCTCTCAGTTCCAGCTGCAGCCTTTCGGCCTGCCCAGCCCTTTTCCTGCCTGGTCATGGCATTGGGTGGGCAGAGGAACAGGTCCACATGGCTTTGAGCTCTGGCCCACAGCCCAGCACCTTCTGCTTGGCTTCAGGGCTCTCATAGATAACACCCCAGGCACATGGTGCCTGTGGGGCAGCTGTACTGAGCAGGGTCCCTGGTTATGGAGCCACAGGCTCCCCTGGCCTGCACTCCTTTGTAGACTGCCATCTGCCTCGGCTTCCCACCAGCAAGTCTTTGCTCCCCTGGACTCATCATCCCAGGGTTTGAAGGTGAAGCTTTTGCCTGGCCCCTTGGCCAGTAGGATGGTCTTCCCTATCTGTGATGGGGCTGCAGTTTCAGCAGGCTGAAGTCCTCCACAGTGATGCCCAGGAGTAGGGCACAGTCCCTGCTGTGGGGAGCTCCTGTCTGAGCTCAGCCAGGCACCCCTCCCCTGCAGCCCAGACAGCTGGGCTCCTCCATTCTGCACCCACCGAACGCTCTACAGCCCGCACCTCCCCCTGCCCAGGCTTTGAATGTCCCTGCAGCACAAGGGCCTCTGCAACAGCCCAGCAGTGCCAGGTTCCTGCCCTGCTGCCCTGCTCCAGACCTTTGGCTGCAGGAGCTGTCAGATGTGCTGGTGCTTGCACAGAACTGTGCCAGCTGGAAACCTCCAGGCCAGGGAGAAACCCACCAGCAGCCACAGCACCCCACAGCAGCTCCAAGGGAAAGGCGAGAGGGTGGTGGGGACCAGGTGCCAGTGTCAAGGGTTGTGGTGAGGGACAGGGGCAGAGACAGGGCTGCTGGGGGTCATCCCCTCCGCAAATGACAAGGGACAGGCACAGACCTGGGGCTCTAAGGCACAGCCAGGCTGGGACACCAGGTACAGCCCCCTGACGCAAAGGGCAGTAAGAGCAGGGCTGTGGTGGGACCAGCCCCAGCATCAAACAGGGACAGCTAAGACCCCAAGTGTCCCCTGGGGTGGCAGGAGGTTTTTGTATCACTTCCCCATTGCTCTGTGTCACTGTGGCAACACCAGTGCTGCCGTCGTAGTTACCACAGAAGTAGACAGCCTCGTCCTCGGCTTGGACCCCAGAGATGGTTAACGTGCCCGTGGAGCCAGATGCAGAGCCGGAGAATCGTGAAGGGATGTCCGAGGGTCTCTGGTTGTCCTTGTAGATCACAGTGACAGGGCCGCGACCAGGCACCTTCTGCTGATACCAGCCATAATAGTTGCTACTCCCAGAGCAGGTGAGCTGGACAGTGTCTCCCAGGTTCGCTGACACCGAGGGCGGCTGAATCAGCACTGCCTGGACCAGGGAACCTGCAGAGGGAGAGAGGAGAGGGGAGAAGATGTGGGTCAGCCAGGGCCTCACAGGCACAGCTCTGCCTGGGCAGGTGCCACACAGGGAAACAGAACAACACAGAGAGCACAAGGTGAGGAGAGATGGCAGAAGCAGGCATAGGGAGTGCCAGAGTTGGAGAAGGGCCCCATTCAGGTTATGGGCACATTGTGTGGGAGCAGAGCTCTGCTCAAGCCAGACCATCCCAGCACAGAGGCAACTCCAGTGGCAAGAGGAGGATGGGGCTGTCAGGACAAAGAGGCAGCAGGACTGCCATGCAGTCAAGACAAAAGACAATGCCATGCCTTCTGTGGGGACAGACACGAAGCATCCCAGGGCCAGAGTCACCTCTGACCTGGCATGATACAGTTGGGACAACATTCTCAGTCACATCCTTAGGCAGCAAAAGGATCTTGACTCAGCTCCACGGCTCTGCTCAGCAGTAAAGGAGAACGGTCAAAAACCTCAATTTTTAACTCCTCTGTTGCTCACTTCCACAACTCTCTGCATCAATGGACCAGCACCAATGCTGCTGTCCCAGCTACCACAGTAATAAACAGCCTCATCTGTGGCTTGGACCCCAGAGAGGGTTAATGAGGCGGGGGAGCCAGACCTGGATCTGGAGACTTGTGAAGGAATGTCTGAGGGTCTCGTGTTCTCATACATCACAGTAACAGGGGATTGGCCAAGTTCTGGCTGGTACTAACCAATGTAAGCATAGATGCCAGCACTACACCCAGAGCAGGTGATCCACATGCTTTCTCCCAGCAGGATAGCAACAGACACAAAGGCCCCAGCTGTGTATATCCTGCAGGGATTTAAAACAAGATCAGGGTCCACAACAAAGCCCGATCAGCGTGGGGACACGGAACTGGTGGGATTGCACCATGGCCTGGGCCTCTCTCCTCCTCGCGGTGCTCGCCCACAGCTCAGGTGCCCTGCCCAGACTCGCTGGGCCCGGCCAGGCCTTTGGGCACAGGGCTCGGGTCCCCGTCCTGCTGCCCAGGCAGGGCTGTGCCCGTGGGGCCCTGGCTGACCCACATCTTCTCCCCTCTCTTCTCTCACTCTGCAGGTTCCCTGGTCCAGGCAGCGCTGACTCAGCCGCCCTCGGTGTCGGCGAACCCGGGAGAAACCGTCCGGATCACCTGCTCTGGGATTGACAACAGCTATGCATATGCTGGTTGGTACCAGCAGAAGGTGCCTGG